ATTCATCCTCTATCAAGACGTTGAAGACTGAACTCACAGAGCTGGTCGCTCAATTCGTAGCCGATTTCGTCTCTACGGGCTACACGGATTACTCTTCGTTCAGAGACAAAATCAAGCAGATGTTCTCCTCTGCGGTCACCTACGGCCTCGACACCAAGACCTCAAGGGCCAACATCAATCATCTGGCAACTCGCAGAGAGCTAGATGCTATGGTGGAAGCCCTAGGGGATGTTGTGACCAAGAACATCGCCCAACTTCTTACAGAGGCCCGAGCCTCCAACAAGGCAATCACAGAATGCACAAGACAACTCGTGAAAGAGGGTGACCTCCTCAGAAGCGAGATATACATAAGCGTTTCCAAATTGAAGTGGGAAACAGAGATAGACATCAATCACGCCTCCGAACTTGCAAATGAGGCCATCAAGAAGATGAAGAAGGCAGCCATCAAAATCTTGCAGAGATTGGAGAAGGCTCCCCTGGATACTTGCAAGGCGGAAGCCAAACAGAGCCATGACGATCATGAGGATGATGACCATGATCGTCATGAGGGGAAGAAGGAGGAAAATAAGAAAGCTTAAGAGGCAAAGGCAAAGAAGACTTCTGCCATAGTTCCTGCCAAGGGTATAAAAATTGGGGAATCTACAACTGACAAAGGCAAGGGAAAGGCTCCAGAGCCTAGTGGCAAAGGAAAAGGCAAGGCTGTAGAGGAACCACAGAAGGGGTCATCATCAAGCACAGAGACCCGCAAGGAATTTGATGAAAAAAGAGTATGTCGATGACCCTGAGCTCCTCAAAGTGTTGAAATTATCTCTAGCAGAGGCTCTAGCGAAGAAGGGTAGAATTCCATTGCACCACAGAGAAGGAGAAGCCACGTCTTCCTTATTACCACAAGTCCAAGAAACGTCCATGGGTACGTTTGATCCTCCGCAAGGATCTGTCAAACCAATCCTTGCAGAGGGATCGACCCAGAGGCCAATTTTGGAAGAAGAAGAGTTCAAGATGCAGAGGCTTCCACAGCAGACAGGGTATTTGAAATACTTGAGTCCATGAGCAGGATTCCAATACCTGAAGTCAAAACAGTTCCTGTTACATCTTTGGAAGAAGTTCTGGTGTGGAAGTACTCTGCGGTAGACACATAGCCCCCATATGATCCAGAACTTACAGGGATCCCCTCTGCCGCAGCAAAATTTCATTTCACCAAATTAACAAGGCCTCGTGAGCAGATCTTCTCACGGCACATGATCACTTCATTGGTGACAATCTCACCAAGGACCTTTTTAAAGAAGACCGTGCTCTACACACAGTATGTTGTAAGGAGAGAAGATGGCAATTTCTACACGTTCACGGATGCTGATCTTCACAACCTCTGCGTGTTTGATGTCATCTATATGCACAAGATTCTCAACATCTTCATGGAGAGGAGGTCCAGCTACCAAATATCGCGCAGAAGGCTGGTTGAGGTAATGCGTGAGCAAGTAGGGTATTACAGCCAGAAGGACTTCGAGTTGGTCATAAGATTAGTACAGAAAAATCTAAAGATCTCTCCTCCATACAGCAGGCCCAGTTGGATATCTAGGTACTCTCCAAACTCCATCAT